TAAAAGGTCTTCAATATCTGACGGTAGTATTCCGGTAAATCATACTGCTTCTTTAAATTCTTCTCCCATATTCACTGATGATCCACCTTCGGGTTCGGTTTCTTCGTACGCTGTTTCTCCCAGTGTTGATGGTAATGTTATTTATTATCATTATTATTATTATTATTATTACCATTTATCATTATTATTATTATTACCATTTATCATTATTATTATTATTATTATTACCATTTATTATTATTATTATTATTATCATGATTATTATTACCACTTATTATTATTACCTTTTGTTAGTCTTATTTTTTGTTTTAATATTACTTTTCCCGATTTTCTTTTGATTTTCTTTTTGATTTTCTTTCCGATTTTCTTTCTGATTTTCTTTCCGAATTTCCTTCTATGTCTAAAGACAGCCCGAATAGTTCATCTATTCAAAGAAGCAATAGTATTCCTCGTAGAAGTTCTGTAGATCAAGATATTTATGATGGAAATACTGAAAAAGCCCTGAAACTTCTTCTTTACACTATTTTGCGCATGTCTATTGATTGCCCTTATGATGATGTTCGTCGAACGTTTACAAAATTCCTTATAGATCTAAGGGTAAGCTTTTTTTTTATATATATATATATTTTTGTCGTAACCTTTAGTATTTTTGTAAATTTATATTTTTTGGTGGTATGCTCACGACGAAAAAAAAGAAAGGCTTCCTTGACTTCTGTGACTTCTTTGATTTTGTTTGCTTCTTTTTTATCTTCGCTGCAAAAATCGTGCTTGCTTCTTTGTCACGTGCGAGCGTGCCAATGTAGTGAGTTGTGTTCACGTGCGTAAATCAAAATATCGTGTTTTTTTTTTGGTGTCGTATAACTTGTTATGATTTGCCTTTTTAGAACGGGCTTTTTAAAGTAGTTACAAAGTAAGTTTCTTTTTGTTTTTTATTTTTATTTTTTATTTCTTTTTTTTGTTTTTTTTTTTTTTTGTTTTTTTTTTATCTTTTTCTTTTTTTT